CACATACCCAACATACACGCATCCATGCACCCCAATGTACACATATGCACCCCAAAACACGCACACACCCAACGTACACATGCACCCGAACACACGCACACACCCACCACACACATGCATCCATGCACCCCAACGTACAGACATGTATCCCAACACACACATGCACCCCAGTGCCTATACACACACACACCCCTAACATATACACCACGCGTACACACTCCAGGATTGGGCAGCTCCCCTGATTTGTAAAAGACAGTGTTTGGTGCACCAGTCCCCTCTGTCTCCATGCTGACATGAGAGCGAGCCGCCCCCAACCCTCTCGGAGGGACATCATCCTGGACGAAATGGTTCTAAATACTGTGCACTTCTGTTCAAACACTGTTTATAGAGACCCCCTCGGTGTCCAGCACTGTGCCATGTTCGGCGGAAACAGAGACAATAGTGAGAGTGTGTGACGTATTCTTCTGGGCATCGTGACGTTACTTGCAAGCATGACGCGGCTAAGGGGCAGGTGGATGCCTGGCATGACAAGAGGCTGAGAGCCGAGCACTTTCCTTCGATCCAAGGTAACTGAGCCCCACCTCAGGTGTGCTAGGGGCTTGACCGACCCCTCTGATAGCTTCCATCTGAGGATGTCATTGTCCCGGCTGTGAGCCGCCCCCCAGACAGTCCCCACGGGCTGTCCTCCCCTGTCCCCACTGTCTCTGAGAGCTCCAGCTCCAGGCGAGGTCAGTGACCCCCCAGAATACTTCACAGAACCAGAGGCAGGGCTCCATCGCTCCGAGGGCAGCAGGACCCTAGCTCCACGCCATCCGTCACCATGACCCTGTCCTCAAGGAGGCGTGTGGTGAACCCACACAGTGGATCTTGTCCTCCCAGGGCTAGAGGCTAAAACAGCACAGGTGACGAGAGTCACAAGAGCCCACATATACACCCCTCCTCCCTCCCAGCACCTCGGGGGGCCCCTGCCTCTTAGCAAGCCCAGCCGGCCCTTTTCCTACCTGCGCCCACCTGAGCACCAGGCCTCTGAGCTGGCTGGTGCCTGGAACCGCCTTGGAGGAAAAAGATGGGATGCGTCTGTGGGTTGCTGGGAGCTGGGGCTGAGGCAGGGTTGGTGGTGGTCCTAGCTCGGCCACAGGCATCACCCGTGGGCCTGGGGGAGGGAGGGAGGAATCCCCTGAATTATTTAACTTGTTTACTCCTGTTTTTCCACTGGCTGCACATAGTTGAGTATGGACAGAAGATGAGTCCCCAGATCGCGGCTCAGAGGGGCGTGTTCTATGACCGGGGATGCAGTTTGTGCAGGTCTGTGACACGTCCTGCCATGTTTTTGTGTATAAATGTGTGTGTCAGGGACTTCAGCAGCACAGCAAAGCCACGTGGGCTGCATTTGTGTAAAATATCTGGCCTCACAGAGCCGGCAAACAAGGACAGTGTGCAGCTCGGGAGCTCGGGAGAGCAGGCGCCTCCGCCCAGCTCAACGTGCAGGGGCGGCCATTTCCCTTACCTCGTCTACACGGACACGGGAGCAGATCCCAGGAGGTAATCTTCAAAGCCTCTCTGGCTCCAACAGTCCTCCACGCAGGGAACGTTCTGGGCTCTCTCTAGATTGGCAACAAGGTACAGTTGTGAAACTTTCAGATAACTTCATCCTAGAAAATTGCTGGAAACCATAGTGACACAAAGAAAGTTGAGGGGAGAACCCAGGGTGTGCTCCACACTTGAATTAGGGCCTCCGAGGTGCACCATGGTGAACAAGAATCTGGACTCTAAAGTCAGACAGACCTGGATTCTGATCCTCGCTCTGCTCCTGGCAGGCTGTGTGACCTTGGGGAAGTCACTCAACCTCTCTGGACTTCAGTTCCTTCATCTGCAAAACAGAACTGATGATAATCAGACTGACAACACAGGGAGGGGTGGGGGTAAAAACATCACAAAGAACTGACCGGCAAAATGCCACATAGTAAGTGCTTGCTACATGTTTGTTACTATTATTATTGAAATGTCTACCCTGGGGTGCATCTACGCAGCCCCATCCCTGGTTGGCGGCCAGTGGCGGGATTGAGCAGCACACAGCAGCATTTTGCCTGTGAAAACATTTTGGTGCAATTTTCTGACCCGCAAAAATATTTTTACAATGAAAACGCACGTCTGGTGTGGAGCTGCTCAGTCTCACTGGCTTTCTTAGCTTTTCAGGAACATAAACAAAAGTGAATTTGCAGACACTGGGGGATGGACTCGCCGTCAGTCAGAGCACTCGCCCGCCCCCAGCGTGGCCCCCGCCCTGCCCAGCAGAGCAGCAGAATCTCAGCCCGGGTCACCCGACCGGTTTGTCACTTGTCCGGGAGGCCACGGAGCCCAGAGCCCGGCAGCCTGGGGGACAGCCAGGGACCCGGGGGCGCCTGCCCACTCCTCACCGCTCAGAGCAGGTGACCACCCACAGCAGCAAGGGGACCTGCCCGAGATCTCACAGCAAGAGTGTGTTTGCTCACTTGTTAGTTTGCTTAGATATTTGCTATTCCTTACTGGACGCACCCCAATTCTTTAAAGAAGCCGTTCCATCCCCGTTTTGACAGGAGGCAAATATGAGGCTTGGAGAGATTGACTGACATGACCAAGGTCATCGGACGCCCAGGCTCTCTCGATTCCTTAATTGGGGAGAAAGGCTCTTGGGGGAAGGCTTTGCCCGGTCCCGGACGACTGCTCTCCAGTCAACATCCTTTGTCCAGAAAGGTGGCGGGAAGCTGAGGCAGAACACAGGATCCCAGCACGGCCGTTTATTAACCGGGCAACCTCGGACAGCCCGGGAAATGTCCCTCCAATCCAGCTCCGTCCGCTGTAGGATGATCGGCCGGTGGCCGGCAGACGAAGAGGAACGGCCGGCTCGCACGCCCCCCGACGAACAGAATCTCACCGGCGCCGCCTGGAGCGGAAGGGGCCAGAGAGGTCTTCTCTGGGTGAGTCCATTTATGGGACGTCCAGGGACAGACGAAGGGCCTGGGGCGAGAGGCCAGAACAGCGTTTGCCTCTGCGGTGGGGGAGGGGCTGCGAGGGGGCGGGAGGGAGCCCACGGGGCGGGGGCAGACAGCTCACCGCCTGGTCTGGGTGCCTGGCGCCCACGACTGCACCCCGAAGTGCCGTGCACCTTAACATACCAACACTAGGCCTCGACGCAACCGAAATAAAACCAAACGAGGACGCGAGCCGCGCTGTCGGGTTCACATACGGCGGGCCACGCAAAGGGAGCCCGTCTCGTCGCGGGTGGTGGGAAGGCACATGCTCCGCGGCGCTCGCTCGCAGGCGGGAGAGCCGCGCAGACGCACTTGTGCCTCGGCCGGCCCTTCGTGCCCTCGGCCCGCCGGGGGACCCACAAAGGGGGGCCGCGCCGGCGCCGGCCCACCGAGGCTGGCATTCCCGCAAAACCGTCCTGGTGCCAAGGGGGGGCGTGCTGGAGGCGCACGAGGGGCGCCGGGTGGCAGGAGGGGGCAGCCCGCCCTCGGCCCGCTAGCCGGTACTAGCCAGCCTGCAATCAGAGAACTTCTCCAGCCGGAGTTGGACGCGGTTGCAGCCAGCTCACCCCAGAAGTCTCGGGAAGCTGCCCTGGCCGACATCTAGCCATCCAGGATGTTCGGTGAGGCCGGCTCACGGCAGAGGCGCCAGCGGGAACAGCTCTCCTCGCGTTTCCCCAGGCAGAGGCCTCTCTCCTGCGCCTGCAGCGTCTGAACACCCGCGCGTCACCGGGGAGTAAAGGCTGGGCCCCGGAGTGAAGAACAGACGGAGAGTTCCTTCTGTACCGAGTGCCAGCCCTGCTAGTTTTCCTCCCTGTTGGCTGAGCGATGCGGGCACACCTGGCCCCTGCCCTCCGGCTCCCGCACGTCGCCCCGTGCCCACGATCACCACTGTGACAGGTGCCAAGGACGAAGAGCACAGGGCACAGGGGCGCAGCTGTCGGGGAAGCCTGGCCTGACCTGGGGTGCAGGGGGGGCCTCCCGGGGGAGGTGGCATCTCAAGGGTGAGGTAGCAGCTGAGCAGAAGAAAGGAACGGATGGGGAGGGTGTGCCAGGTGGAGGACCCTGCGTGGACAAAGGTGGCTGGAGGGAAGGGGCACGAACCAGAGCAGGCTAGTGCCTGCCCAGCGGCAAGTGGGAACCGATGGGGTGGGCCGACTCGGACCAGGCCTCCAGGCCTCCAGGATTTGGGGCCTTCTGTGAAGATGGGGCCAAGGGGGTGGGGGCTCTGAGGGTTAAGTCAGGGCCTGACTGGGTGGGAATTAAGGGTATTTACCATCATTCTGGCAGCCAGGTGGGGAGAGACTTGGAGGAGGCAGGTCTGGGAGGGGATGGGAAAGCTTTAGGGCCCCTCACAGTTGTCCAGGCAAGAAGAAGAGACTGGCTGTGGGGGTGGAGTGATGACAGACCTCCTGCCTTCCTGGGCTGGTGACTAGGCCAGGGTGGAGGGTCACGAGAGGGAAGGATTCCAGGCGATGCCGGGTTTCTGCCTGGAGCCCGTGGCTGGCAGCAGTGAACCCTAAAGTCCAGAATGTCCTCTTCTTTTCTCAGCACTGGCCCCAGGTTCAGAGCGTTTGCCCAGCTCCTGTGGGAAGCCCAGCAGAGCCCAGAGGCAGAGGAAAAGCAAGTCCAGCCATCCCACCATGCTCCCTGCCATAGCCCAGCACCTCTCAGATGCTAAGTGCATGCAAGTCACCAGGCATCTGGGTCAAATGCAGGTTCTCACTATGCAGGTCTGGGGAAGGTTCTAGAATCTGCAGGCTCACGGGCCGCTCGTCCACAACCAACCAAGTAGCAAGGGGTCATGGAGACCCTTCCCGGGCTCTGGGTCTGAGACTTGATGGCCCCGTGCCTTGGGGGAGGACCTCTTGCCCATCCCACCCCAAAGGCAGGATCTCGGCTCCTCTCGCTCTATGCCATCCTCGGCTCTCCCGAGAAAACCTGTTGTCATTTACCTGCTCAGGATTACCTTCTCTTGGCCCCCAGGTGGCATCTGCCATTTTCTGCCTCACCAGCTCCAGGAGCCAGTGGTTTCTGCCGGGACACCACGAGGGCACGGCCAGGCCCTGCTGCAGGGAAGCTGAGCTGAGGAGCCCAAGGGGCGGCCAGGGGGACACATCCAAGTGGCACTCAGGTATATGTGGGTCTGGAGCCCAGAGAGCCACGGTGGGAGTGTGCAATGAATGGCTCCTAGCAGAGGCCCTGAGGAAGGACAGGCACATTCGTTTCCTAGGGAGGCCACAGTAGAAACCACAAGCCGGGCAGCCCGACACAACAGAAATGTATTCGCTCACAGTGCCGGAGGCTAGAAGTCCAAAGTCGGGGTGTCAGCCGGCCCATGCTCTGATGGCTCTAGGAAAGAACACTTCTTTGCCTCTTCCGACTCCCCGCCGCTCGCGGGGGGTCACAGCAGTCCTTGGCTTGTGACAGCATGACCCCAACTCTGTGTCCACGGTCACATGGGCCTCTCCTCTGTGCGCGCGCGCGCGTGTGTGTGTGTGTGTGTGTGTGTCTTCGTATAACCTTCTTATTGGGACACCAGTCATTAATTGATTAGGGCCCAACCTCATGACCTCATGTTGACTCCATCTGCAAAGACCCGATTTCCAAGGAGGGTCACATTCCCAGGTACATGGTTCAGGACTTCAACATATCTTTTGAGGGGATGCAATTCAATGTGCAACAAGGGGTGGGGGGACCCAAGAGAGTGTGTGCAGCGAGGCAGGAGCCAGCAGCCTCCCAGGGCTGCCCAGTGAGGTGGCCCCCTTGGCCAGCATACCCCCCACCAGCTTCTTAGCATGTGAGGAGCGACGAGCCGTCTGCCGTCCCTGTGGCCTCCCCTCGCTCGGCACTGAGGTCTTGGCCTGTAAACTGTGCTCCATTGGCTGTAAACTGTTTGTAGGGTTTTAAATAAACACCCACAGTCCTTCTGAAGTCTGGTGGCTTACCGCTCACCCTGGGCTTTGGCAGCTGTCAGCAAAGTCCCCAGCCCCAGACTCTGAAAACTAACCGATGGGCAGAGCCACCCACAGAGGCCAGCAAGGAGGCTCCCGCGGCCGCGGCCCAAACCAGGGCACCTCCCACCGCCCTGCCAGGGCCAAAGGGCCCAGGAGGCCCAGGAGGGGAGGGTTCTCCTCCAGCTCAGATGCTGTCTGGAGGGTGGGAACTCGGCATACTTCCCCCCCCCCGCCCCCGGCAGCCTCAGTTTCCCCGGGCCATGCAGGGAGGCCCTGCTCAGCTTCAGGCTCGGGTACTTCGGCGGAAAGACTTCATCCCCTCAGGCGGGCTGGGCCCAGGAACGGGTCTGTCCCTTTACCGTAATGGAAGTCGGGGCAACTTGGTTGGTTCCCCGGTGGAAAAGACAGGTGGCCCGTTTACCCTTGTAGCTTCCAGCTGCTGTCGCTTCACCGCCTGGCCATCGGGCAAAATTCAGCCTCTGCATGGAGTTCACTGGGCCCCCAGAAGGTGGATTCTCAATGTGTGTAAGTAGCGCCCATATTTTAAGGTGGGGAAATTTCACCTAGAGATCTGGGTTTCGAGCCGCCCTTGAAAAGCCCACGTGGCCTTCGGGAAGGGAGGCCACAAGCGCTCCCTCCTGGGTCTCCTCCTAGCAAGCTGAGAGGCGGTGCGCGGGCTCTCGTGCCCAGTACTTAGCCAGTGGGAAAATGAGAGCTCAATTAAAAAAGGCAAAGTGTTTCAAAAAGAGACATATGCGGAATTTAAGCAACAAAACAGATGAGCACAGGGAAAGGGAAGGAAAAATAAAATAAGATGAAAATTGAGAGGGAGGCAAACCATAAGAGACTCTTAACTGCAGGGAACAAACTGAGGGTTGCTGGAGGGGAAGGGGGTGGGGGGACGGAGTAACCGGGTGACGGGCACTAAGGAGGGCGCGTGATGGAATGAGCACTGGGTGTTGCGTGCAGCTGATGAATCCCTAAATTCTACTTCTGAAACTAATGATAAATACATACATAAACACAGAAACAAATATCAGATGTGTTAGTGCATGAAAAGATTTATATTTCTGCTTTCTTTCAGAACACTCACAGTTGTTGAATCTATGGATATTCGTTGAATGTAATTATTTGCTTTGCCTGAAAGGATTTTATAGTTTGTATTATAAAAATAACTGATTCCAAGAAAATAAAGCTCAATAACATTGAAAGAAAAAAAAGCAGTGAGACATGAGGAACGGCCTAGAGATTGGCTGGGCTCGTCGGACTCCTCAGCAGCTGCCTGGCCCACCCAGACCTCCTGGATTACAGTCCACCAGTGTTTTCCCCAGAGACAAGCTTCTGGACGGTTCCACCAAAGGGCACCAACTAACATGACTACTTGCCTCGAGGTTAGTGTGCGGGCGCCAGACTCTTCCAGAGCTGGAATCCCAGCACTGCACCCATGAGCTGTGAGGCCTGGCAAGCCGTGTAACCTCCCTCAGCCTCAGGACCCTCATCTGGAAATAGAGCTCCTGCTGGGGAAACGAAAGGTTAAGTGAGGATGATGCGTGAAAGACGATTAGCGTGCTAATTGGAATCTAGTTTTATTGTCGTTATGGTTGTTTCTCTTGCTGCTGTGGTTGTTGGTAGGTGTCTCGTGTCTCAGTTTCATTCTCCCAGAAACAGACTCTGAGGCCAGGAGGCAGTGCAGAGGTCGGTTTGTGGGAAAGGAAGGCCCCCAGGACACACCAGCAGGGAGCTGGGAAAATGAGACAAGGAAGGGAAGGTAGCCCAAAAAGTGTATGTGGACAAACCCATTACCACTGTGGGCAACTGCCCCCCAGTCCTGCTCGGGGCTCTGGAGCCAACGCAGCCCACACACCTCAGAGCCCACACACCTCAGAGCCCGTGTGCCTTAGAGCTTACACACCTCAGAGCTTACACACCTCAGAGCCTATGCATTCTCAGAGCTTCTACACCTCAAGAGTCCACACACCACAGAGCCCACATACCTCAGAGCCCACATGCTTCAGAGCTTACACACCTCAGAGCCTACACACCTCAGAGCTTACACACCTCAGAGCCCACACACCACAGAGCCCACATACCTCAGAGCTTTCACACCTCAGAGCTTACATACCTCAGAGCCTATGCATTCTCAGAGTTTATACACCACAGAGCCCACACACCTCAGAGCCCACACACCTCAGAGCCCACACACCACAGAGCCCACATACCTCAGAGCTTTCACACCTCAGAGCTTTCACACCTCAGAGCTTACATACCTCAGAGCCTATGCGTTCTCAGAGTTTATACACCACAGAGCCCACACACCTCAGAGCCCACACACCTCAGAGCCCACACACTTCAGAGCTTACACACCTCAGAGCTTTTACACCTCAGAGCTTACATACCTCAGAGCCTATGCATTCTCAGAGCTTATACACCTTAGAATCCACACACCTCAGAGCTTCCACACCTCAGAGCCCATGCATTCTTAGAGTCCACGTGCCTCAGAGCTATCCACCCTACCCCTGATCCCTAAGAACATGGGAGCTATAGCACTGATATACCAACTCTAGTCGTTCATTGGCTGAGGGCTGTCAGCAGAGGCTGTTCACCTCCTGGCCCTCTGACCTGCACGGGGTAAGAGGAGTGAGCCTCTACAGCCACAGAAATGCTGGTGCCAGCATTTCAGAGATTAAGTGGTGACACCTGAAGTCCTGTGGGTGAGGAGATGTGGACAGGCCACCAATGGCGTCTGCCAGAGCTCATGTTTCTCTTTTATGTGGATGCGAAATCTGCATTTGATTCCATGATATGTCCATGTTTGTTTTAATATAAAAATATATTGGAAAAATAAGTAGATGATCAATAGATATAGATAGACAGACAGATATTGGGCCTTAAGAATTGAGTAAAAGTAATATTATAAGAATGTGCCTCATGTTTACCCTGTAATTCTTTGTATTCCCTAGCATGCGCATGCACCGCGCGCGCGCGCACACACACACACACACACACACACACACTGAGATGGCCATGACCCTGTCGGTGAAATCGAACCTTCTTGACTTCATTCAAACCTCACAACAATCCTGTGCATGAAGCACATATTGTCCCCATTTGACAGATGAGGAAATTAAGGCCTAGGGTGCTAAGTGACTTGCTTGGACCTAGACTGGTAAGTAGGTGAAACCACTGGAAGGCGGCCCTTCAACAGCGAGACCGCGTGGAGCCAAGGCTTCAGAGGGGCTCCCCTATGTACCCTCTGCAGGGAAACAGCCTATAGGAACAGAGGTCTCCTGGAAGTCGGGGCAGGGGTTTGGAATCAGACTTGCATTTCAGCAAGATCATCGTGGCAACGAGCAGAGGAGTCAGGAAAGGCGCAAGTGAGGGCGGGAGAGCAGCTGAGGGGCTGCTGAGATGTGCCCCAGCGGGGCCGAGAAAGACAACCAAAGCCGGAAGCTCTAACAGAAGAAGAATTGCAGGACCAGGGCTCACCGGGAGGCAGCTGAGGAGATAGGGAGGGAGGTGATGAGCATGACTACTCCCAGGTTTCTGATTTGGGCAGCTGGGTGGAAGGCGGTGCCCTTTACTAAGGATGCATAGGAGGAGGAGCAGCTTCGGAGAGCCCAGGAAGAGGATCTGTTCTCAAGGAGTTGATGTTAAGGGCCTTCCGAGGTGGACAGATACATGAGACCAGAAGTGAGCACGACCAGTCCGGACTGGAGATTTAGATCTCGGGAGCTATCTGCTGCGAGAGCAGTCGTGGCCATGGGAGTAGAAGATGTCACGCAGAGAGAATGAGGAGAGGGGAGGAGGGAGAACAGCACCCAGGGCAGAGCTCAAAGAACCCTCACATCCAGGGTCAGGCAGAAGAAGATCCAGTGCAGGAGACTACGCTGTGGTCACAGAGGCCAAGGGAGAACCCCCGAGACAGGAAGACGTGGCAGCCAAGGGCAGAGTGGTAGGACCCTGCCGCCTCCCTGGGGCTGGCGCACAGCGGGTGCTCTAAGAAGACTTTCTTGATTGAAGGAGTGCATGAATGAATTGCATTTCCTTAGCGCCTTGCTGCTTGCAAAGTTCTACCACAGCTCTGGACCCATGTGACCCTTGTAAGAGGCGAGCAAGACTGACCCCATGCTATAGGTCGAAAGCCTGAGCCGTCAAAAACTTCCGCAGTTGGTGAAGGACTGAACTTGTAGGTTGTCCACAGGGTAATTTCCCTGGCTCCCCATGGCTCTGTCTGGCCCTGAGGGCAACTAATTGGTGCCCTGGGGTTAAGCGCTTTCCCAGAGCCCTCTCTGTACCCCTCCCACTGCCGCTCAAACCCCTAAGCACCAGACTGGTTGCCTGCACCAAGCAGGGATATTTGGTGTGTGAGAGTTGATTGGTTTTTGACAAATCCAGCTGGGCCTCTTTTTAGCACCTACTCATCCCCCAGGGGCTGGAAACCTGATATTTTAATGATTTGCTCCAGACCCTTTGGGGGTGGGGTAGAGATTCTGTGAGGCTAAATTCGGTGGAGGCAGGCCTGGTAGACGTAATTAGCAGGTGAGGACTCGCTGGGCTGGGAAATAAGGGATAGTCAACACAAAGTGGGCTGTGTCGTGCCCCCACCTCCATTCCAGCAGGAGCCAGGCTTAGGCCCCCAGAAGCAGAGGGACAGTCTTCCCAGGCCAGTGGGGAGAGAGACTTCAGGAGAGGTCGCTCTTCTGTCTGGTGACTGAACAAACATTTCCCTCTGCCCCTGTTTGGTCCCAATTGGTGTGTCTTCCTCCAATCCCTTTTCTTTCTTTCCTAAAAGATTTCCCTACATCCTCTGATCTTCTCTTTGGATCACAGAATCTCACAGGAGGAAGGAAGATGAAGTTCCACCTCTTTGTTTTATAAACGGAGAAACCTCTTTGTTTTATAAATGAAGAAACTGAGACCAGTGAAGATACAAGTCTCATGCAAGGTCACACAGTGAATTAATGGCATCATTATCATCCTCACCAATGTCATTGTCATCTCCACCACCACCATCACCACCCTCACCACCATCACCCTCATCACCCTCATCACCCTCACCACCACCACCATCATCACCATCACCACCACCACCATCATCACCGTCAGCACCACCACCATCATCACCATCACCACCACCACCATCATCACCGTCAGCACCACCACCATCATCACCATCACCACCATCACCACCACCACCATCACCACCACCACCATCACCACCATCATCACCATCACCCTCATCACCCTCACCACCATCACCATCATCACCCTCACCACCACCACCATCATCACCGTTAGCACCACCACCACCATCACCACCACTGCCATCAACATAATCACTATCATTATCACCACCATGATCACAACCACCATCACTACCATTACCCTCATCACCATCATCACCAACAAAATCACCACCACCACCATCACCACCACCACTGCCATCACTATAATCACTATCATTACCACCATCACCACCATGATCACAACTACCGTCATCACCACCACCACCACCACCACCACCATCACCACCACTGCCATCAGCATAATCACTATCATTACCATTGTCACCACCATGATCACAACCATCATCATCACCATCACCACCACCAACAATCAGGCCTTTTACTAAGTCCCATCCGAGTCTTGAAGACGGTTACACATCCACTGCCAGCTGTGCCCCACCCAAAGTGAGGGGAAAGGGTGCCTCTCTTAGCTGCACCGCCATTATTCCTTTTTCTGAAAGGAAATTCAGACCTTGGAGGCATGAACACCAGAGTAGTTGGGAATCACCAGGCCAGGTTGGGGATTGACTGCTGGTCCATGGCATGGCAAGGCATGGCGAAGCCACTTGTTCCATAGCTGAGCCTGTCCCCGGATGTCATCATTGTCATGGCCTCGCCTCCTCACAACTGCTTCCCTGGAAGGGCCACTCCCGCCGCCGCCTCACGCTGAACATGGAGTCTGCTTGAGATTCTCTCTCTCCCACTCCCTCTGCCCCTCCAGGGCATGTGTCTGGCCCTGTGCAAAGAAACAGAAGAAACCAACAGCGGTGTGGCCATGGTGACCTTTGTGCAAGGTCATACAGCTGCTAAGTGGCACAATCCGGGTTCAAACCCAGTCCTGCCTGACTCCCCAAGACTTAACCAACTGCTGCAAAAGCCAAACAATGAAATAAATGAGGACGTGGTAGGAATTTCCGTCCTTGCATTTCTCAGGTCATTGAGCTGGAGGGAGGTGGAGGACGGGGCGAGGAAGAGGGCCGGAGCCAGGCGACCGCTGTGATGGGCCAGCCGAGGAGCCAAGGGAGGAGGGTGCGAGGCAGCGAGTGGAGAAAGACAGGAGCACAAAGCCATCTGAGGCCTGGGCATGGGCCAACAGCTGCACGCAACAGGCTCGGCAGGACAGGAAGGCTAAGGATGGGGCTGCCACCTGGGGGCCATGAGAAAGGTGCAGGCAGGCCAGGAGGAGCGGCAGAAGCCGGATGATGGCCATGCAGGGATGGGGAGGAGAGGCAATTCTAAGGGAGGGGTGAGCAGAAGGGGGGAGGAGGATGGGTCCTGACATTCCTAGAGAAGGAGAAAAACAGGGATATCAACCCAGCAAAGAAAAACAGAGGAAACAGTGAGTCTGCTGTGCCCAGGCTGGGCTTGGGAAAAGCTGGGTAGGCATTGGGAAAGTCAGTCCGGGCTTAAAGTCAGAGCCAGAATGTCCATTCAGGATCCACTCTGCACATTCATTGACTAAATATGCACTGAAAACCTCTGGTTTCAGGCTCCGGACTAGACACTCAGGGAGGCAGTGATGGTTGGTAATGGTCCTTGCACCGCAGGAGTTCAGACTGCCCCCATCCCGAGCACCAGGGATGATGGTGAAGCAGTTCCTCACCTTCTCCTTCCTCTGATAAGATCCAGGATGCCCCTTCCCCACTCGTGTGCACGCTCGCTCGCTCGCTCTCTGTCTCAAAGAAAGAAAAGGGAAGGAAGGAAGGAAGGGAGGAGGAAGGGAAAGAAAGAAGGAAAGGAAGGAAGGGAGGGAGGGAGGGAGGGAGGAAGAAAGAAAGTGGTCTGAGGGAGGGAAGGATTATGCTGGAAGGTCTGAATGCCCTATATGGCCCGTCACCCTGCATGGTTGCAAGAGAGGAGGGAGGAAGGTCTAGTCTGGGCATTCCCTGAAGAGGGCAGAGGAAACACCCCTCACAGCCCCAGCCCCTAAAATCTGACCAGTCCCAGAGTCTGGGCTGCATCTCCACATCCCGTGGGGGGATTAGGGTTTTAGCTGCCAACTCTCCTGACAGGCCACTCCTTCTTCCAGATGCCTCTCACTGGAGCTGCTTAGGTCGGGTCTGGCAGGCTCACGCATGCAAGGTCCCAGTGCCCTGATCTCCCTGGGGACAGCCACATTGGCAGTGCCCCCTTTAGGATGGTGATGAGATGAGCTAAGAGAGGCACCCTTTCCCCTCACTTTGGGTGGGGCACAGCTGGCAGTGGATGTGTAACCGTCTTCAAGACTCGGATGGGACTTAGTAAAAGGCCTGATTGTTGGTGGTGGTGATGGTGATGATGATGGTTGTGTCCAGCTCTCCTGGACAAGCTCCTTAGCACAGGATTCCCCAGCCTCCGCTCTTCCAGTCCACGGCCCCCTTGCCATGTCCTCTTCCCCACCCTCTGTCCTCCCCCACCACCGCCTTGACATTTGCAGCCTGACACTTTGAGATATAGGTCCAACTTCCACTGGGTTTG